GCTGGTCCTGGGAGTCATCTACAGTCTGCCAAAGCATATGAGCCACCAACCCGTCTTCACCTCCGCTAGTCTGAACTTCCATTCCACCTTCCTGGCTTCCCAGCCCTAGGTAGCCTTGAAAATCAAGCAAAGCCTCCAGTGGAATATCTGACAACCAAACTGCACTCAAATGTTCCTAGCATTATGTGGGCCATTTTTCCTGATGTAAACTTCTTCCTGGGTGATATACTCATTTTCACTGATTTTGCTTCTCTAGTCACAGCAAAGTGTGGTGAAGAACTCAGTAGAATGTAGAAAATCTTCTCTTTAACAAAACATTCTGAAAACAGGAACTATGTATGCTAATTCCTAACTGTAGGTTGTGGTCCAGGCCATCTCTAAAATGCATTAGAAAGTAAAAGTCTAGGCTGGAACACTGTTCCCATTCTTTCAAACTCACTGATGACTGGAGTGGGTCAGTGGGGGAAAGCAGATACAAGCAGGGAAATTAAGTTAAAATGATGAAACAAAAGGGAGTGGCCCTAACAAATCCTGATGCCAGGATTACCACAGAGGCACTAATGATGTTCTCAAGGATAATGACAATGAGGAGCAAGAGAAATAATGTCAAAAATGTAAGCATTATTAAACTTTCACCTTAAAATAATTCTGATCATATACCCACCATCAAATAGTTTGTGAATTAAAAAGGAAAAACAAAACAAATAAGCACCATCTAAATGCTATTACTACAACTATCTATAATAGCAAAATTTCTATAGTGCTTTGATGATTAATATTTCTCAAATTCTATCTCAACCAATATGTAGATTGAGTCAGTCCAGTGTGTACTGTATATTCTAGTTCAGTTGACTAAAAAAACACAGAAAATTTTCTTTTTAAAATTAAATGTAGTTATTACTGCTCTCTGTGGACATCTATCCTCCATAGATTTATTTAATAAAATTAGTTCTATTATCAACAATTTTTTTTAATTAAGCAGAAGAAAAGACAGTATATATAGCAAAATGGCATACCTGGTAGTACTTCCTGTTCTTCTTCAGGGGGAGCATGCACTTCTAAAATAAATGAAAGATGCAATTCATTACATATTGCTAGCCAGTATTTAACACATAGGTATATTGTCAGTATTTTAGTTGCAATGATTTATTTTGCACATTTTTAAAAATTCAAATACAATTACCATATAGACATATTTTTCACTATCACAATAAAGAAACATTAGATATAACTCAGAACATGTTCTACAGAAAATTCTTTACATCCTCTGTCCAATTTACTAACCTTGAACCAGCACAGCTTATTAAAGTAGTTACGGACAAAAATCCAGGTTTTCACCATAATTTTGCATCAGACTTGATAAGTAGAGGGAACAGACTTAAACCATTTTGTTTCTTCTTTTAAGCACCCCCCCCACCAAAGGTTTTATAGCATAGCCCTGGTTTTATAACTGAAATAATGCGAAGAATTTAAATAGCAGTGAATTTTACGAAATTTTAAAAATTAGGGCTACTTTGGAAAAAATGATTTCTCTCTAACTTTATATAATATTATTAAAGCATCAAGAGAGATAAACTTTTCTACTCCCATAAAAGATTAGTTTGGTGGGGGGTTGTGAGGGAGGTCGTCTCATAAAAAAAATATTAGTTTCAGAAACCTATAGGGTTGCTGTAAGTCGGCATTGACTCAATGGCAGTGAGTTTTAATGTTGGGAAAATTCCATTGTGTGTATATATCAAAGTTTGTTTATCAACTCTTTAATGGATGAGCTTTTAGATCAGCGGTTCTCAACCTGGGCGTCACGACCCCTTTGGGGGTC